TCCATTTGGACAATGTGTTAGTTTTAATATAACGTTTACGTTATTTAGAGAATGAATATTCACCAATGTACAAAATAATATTTATTTGAGCATTGTAGTTGCTTGTGTATTTACTCAGTCAAATGAACTGAAATCAATTAAATGAATTTTGCCTTTTTAGTGCTTCAAGAATGGACCAATGATAGCTTCAAGATGTGCTTTATTAGATCATCTAAAAATTTAGACATGCATAGTCTAGTAAAGAGAGATTCAACATCAGAAGGCATTTCGAAACCGCTGGAAGGTTTGCATTTCAAGTACTGGTCTACATGCTCCAGACATTGTTGTCTTAAGTCTTCAGTAAGATCTAGTCGAGTTCTCATCTGCTCGATAAAACGACATTCCTGTAATGATAAAACAATTTATTCTTCTTTATTTTTAACGCTTTATCGATATTTCTGAAATGTGTTTTAGAGAGTAGCTAATAATTTTGAAATAAAAATTGACTTACGTGTGCAGTTTCAGTCTATATTTTCATAATTTGTAAGATGAACTACGAGGAATGTCTGCGCAGGTATTAGGATTATTACAAAATGATGCTTGAGAGTTATAAATATTTTGTTAGTAACACGAGATAAATGCAGTTATATGTGTCGAGTGCAGCCCAAACGAGATAGTGGTTAACGTCGTTGACTGCTGTGCCGAACGCCTCCGGTTTGAATTCCGGAGAAGGCATGGATGTTTGTAAATGTATAGTGTGGGTGCGGCAGGGCGGCACTCTAAATATGCGGAAAACCAAAAGTCCTCTCGTGTGGATTGGTGGAAGGGGAGAGGGATGAGAGACTGTCGGACCCGTCATCCCGTGGTGCTCTCCATCAAAAACTGGGGGCGGAACTGATCTAAATCGTACTGTCACCTGTATGGGGCTCAAGGCTGTTGTCAAAGACAGGCGTATCTTGCGTTCCTTGCCACGAGGTATTTCGTGGGCTTGTTCTGATGTTATTCTCAGACAAGTGAGGTAAGTCACAACATATGTGTCCAGTAACAGTTAACGCATTACATGGTGTTTTTCAGAAACGGCAGTGATTGGAATCGTTATGGACGAAATGTGGGTTTGAATCGCTATCGACCAAATCTAATCTGCAAATGCCATAATTTTAGTCATCTAGTTTTGCACCATAGACCTTTCTATTCGTAAGTGAATATTTTCATGAGTGGATTAAACTTACGCCCGAATATGGCAACTAAATGCATCACGTCAATTCTGCTGTCTATTCTTACTAAGAACGCTTCATTTTAATACACTTGAAGGAATCTTTGACCAATAATTCAGATAATCTGATAACAACTGTTTACTTCACCTGTTTTCAGATTATCTGAATTAGTGGTCAAAGATTCCTTCAAAACTGAAAAGTTTCAGTTTAATTTGGTTAATCTTTAACCAAATTAAACTGAAAAGCAGATTAACATACATATCTGAGATTCGATTTTGAAAACGAGCATTATGGAAACTAGTGGTTTGCAAGCCGCTGGCTGTCGTCATTGTCACGGAGTATAATATCAGAGATCAACCGGGGGCGGCATTTTATAGCTTCAGCGAGTGAATGAGGTCAACCTTTAAATTATCGGTTAAGTATTTAGTTTATAAATATAAAATATAACATTTATTTAAGTTTTGCTGTTTATCAACATTTACTATGTGTTGTTTAATTTATAAAACAAACTAAAAAATAATCTAAATTTAAATGAATTTACGTACCCATTTCTCGAGACTTGCAAAGGTGGCAGGAATGATATTCTAGTGAAAGAGGTACTTGGGGTTAAAAACTTGAGAACCACTGTAAATGGGTAAAGGTAACAATCTAAACCAGTTTGATTGCGAATAAGTTGTCAGCAATTGCAAGACCGGATGTTTGATGTTAGCAACCGATGAACTACTTGGCATGTCATACAGTACCATGGGCAGGTGTACTATTAGTTCCACAGAATTGGAAAGACCATGCGAAATACGATCAAAAACCAGCGAATGATAACCGAGATGCTCGGAGACTCACTCGCTTCGTATCAGCGTCTAAAAGCGCAACCTTATATCATATTTTGACAGATTTTAATGCAAGTTCTTCTTCTAATATCTTCACAAGGATGGCTCATTAGCAACTGATGAAACTAAATTGTATCAGCAAATTGTTATTTTGGACCCATTGCATTTCAAAACCACTGGAACGTTTGCATTTCAAATCCAGGTCTATATGCTCCAGACATTGTTAAGAAAATTACTGCAGACTTCAGTTTGCCAAATCACATCGCCAGTGGGCTGTTAGAAGACTGGAAATGTGGAATTTGATCCAACGAATCGACACTGCAGCTGCTGCTGGCGGATGATAGAGTTTCTTTGTGGCGTAAACTGTACCAAGCGTTGCATCCCCCGAGTCAGATCGATGTTGCAGAGGCCGGTGGTAATGGTGTAACTGTTTAAGGCATTATTACGAGGGCCGCATTGTGTCTTTTCACCATGATGGATAAAGCCTTGACAAGATAGATATTCAAAATTTTATTTATTATTAACTGCGTTAAGATCGTGTTATTTATTCATCAATATTTGCGTTAGGAGACTATTCATTACTATAATTAGAACTGCATTTAAGACTATATTGCTTTAAGACTAAAATTTATGCATTTATCTACAAATTAGAACAAATTAACTTGATCAAGTTATTAATATTGCAGCAAGGAAAGTAATATTTTACAAAGTCGCCTGGTTGAATGTTCAGTCGATTCTCACAGTAGCCGTCACATGCTCTAGATGGAAATTGGATAGAGGCGTTATCTGGTGAACAAATGGAGACGGACCGATGACTCTTCTACTTCTATCTCTTTCTTCGTTGAGAAATTGGCCGTTCATCTACCCCTCTTCGTGCGCTTTTTATTTTCGGAGCGATATATTGCTTCCAGCTCATAACGCGCCAGTCCATTCATCAGAAGTTTTACACATATAGTTCAACGAACAAAGCAGTGACGTTGGAAAACTAATCCGGCTTCCAAGGTCCACAGATATGAATCATCGCCTGAAAGAGTCTTTTTACTCTATGGATTCACGACCATGCTCTGAGATAAATTTCTGAAAAAACTGAAGATTTGTTGGATGACAGTACCACCATCTCTCTTTCAGTACCATTATTTCCCTTCCTTTGCATACTACAGCACATATTTTTGAAATTTGAGACATGTTTTTGAAAATGTTTCATATTGAAAGAGGCTTTAGTACGAAAATGTAAGATTTAAATGATTTTGTTTTTATGCATTTTAATTTATGAAGTTTCAAATAAATACAGTGTTTAGTATTTTTCGTACCAAACGAATTACTAGTGTGTCTTTGCAACGATAGATGGTGTTGCCGCCTGATAATTCAATTCTGGTTGCTATGGTAACGAACTTTCAACTCATAATTTATGTGATTTGTATTCTTTTTCTTTTTTGTTTTTTTATTAATTGCTACTGTGCTTGGAGTGATGTGAGCTGTGTCGTCACGTGGGCGGCATTTCTTCTATTTCAAAGAGTTATGTAAAATGAACTAGTGATATTACAGTCCGCTTACCTTTTTTTGTGAATTATTCTTAACATTCTTGGCCCTAGCGACCGGAGAGAAGAGTTAGCGAACTTTGGATATGATGTGATTTATTCAAATATTAGCAAGTTAAATCACTTTCGATTTGTGGATTAATAATTGCTTGGTGTAATTTCGATTCTATTTGTGGATTATGCGTGTGACATCTGTGGTTAAATCAGTTTCGATTTGTGGAATATTCCCGTGGCATGGTGTAGCGTAGAAACCTCAACATTGGCGTGAGTACATTCCAATATTTCATCTTCTTTTGCTAGAGTTGTTAGTATCATATTTATTGTTATTCATAATGGCTGATTTGAAACCAGTTTTAACTAAAAAGAAGGTTCTAAAAAGCAATATAACAACGTTTAAAGGCAAGGTAAATTCGAATTTAGAACAAGCAGAAATTTTATAGGTAAAGTTGTTCGAAACGAAACTAAATGCTTTTAACAGTGAGCTTCGTTCCATTTATGAGGAAATATTTTTGTTGTGTCCTGAAAAGGATTGTGATACATTCATTACGGAACAACAAACAATACAAGAAACTTTAGATGCATTATGGATAACTATAAATAAAAAGTTACAGAAACTTTCCAGTGACTCTGTTATTGAAACAAGTAGTGTAGCAAAAGTAAATTCGTCTGACGTTCGATTACCAAAATTAGAACTTTCTACCTTTACAGGGGAAAATATAGATGAGTGGATTAGTTTCTATGATCTTTTTAAGGCTAGTGTAGATAACAATCCGAATATTTCTAAATGTCAGAAGTTTCAATATTTAAAGGCTTCTTGTAAAAAAAAGGCTCTGTCTATTATTCAATTCCTATTTCTGATGCTAATTATGATATAGCGTTGCAAATTTTACAGGAACGTTATTCTAATAAAAGAGAATTAACTAATGCATTAATACGTAAAATGTTTAATTTGCCAAATGTTTCTGATTCAGCTCAAGCTATTTTATATTGTGTTGATGTAGTAAATGAATGTATACGCTCTTTGAGAACTCTTAAGCTAGAAGTTTCTGATCTTTCTGATGTTCTTTTTGTTTATCTTGATAACTGATAAAATTAGATAAAAACATAAAATTTTGGTGGGAAAGAACTTTGAAAAAAGATGAATTAGGTACTTTAGATAATTTACTCGAGTTTCTAAAAGACCACGCTAGAACCCTTCAGAATAGTAGAAACCAATCTAAAGATTTTAGGAAATTTTCTAATTCCAAATTAACTTCTTTAGTGTCGAGTAAAAACAGTTGTATAATGTGCAAGGAAGATCATTCTCTTCACAAATGTCGGTAAGTTTTTAAACTTAAGTGTCCAAAAAAGAATCGAATTTGTTAAGAAAACACAAACTTTGTTTTAATTGTTTATCTTCTCAGCCTCATTTAGTGAAAAACTGTCGTAGTTTACATAAATGTATGACTTGTAAGTTACCTCATCATACTGTTCTTCATTTTGATCGAAATATCAAAACTAGTGAAAATGAGAAACCAAAACAAACTTCCTCACTCTTCCCCAGAGCCGAAGTGTTCTTACCAAAGAATGAAGTCGTTACAAATGCCACAACATGTACAGGACAATTTAGTTATTCTAAAGGTGAATCAAAACGTGTATTACTGTGTACTGCTCTCATTAAAGTTAGTGATTCCAATGGTAAAGCCATCCTTGCAGGGCTTTACTAGACTGTGGCAGTGAAGCCAGCTTATAAGTGAAGAGTGTGTCAGAAAACTAAAGTTAGGTAGATTTAACAAAAAAATTGAAGTATCGTGCCTTGGTTCGTTCAACACTGTAACAAGTGGAGAAGTGGAATTAATCTTTACCCCGCACTTTGAGTCAAATTCCAAATTTCGAACATATGCATTCGTGATTCCAAGGATAACTTCAGATGTGCCTAACGTGTCGCTTCCTTCTAAAATTGCGAATCATTTTGACGATCTAGTCTTAGCTGATCCTAAGTTCTATGAAAGAAAACCTATAGATATTTTGTTAGGTGTAAATGTATTTTTTACTATGCTTAAGGGAGACATCATAAAGAGAGGAGAATCATTACCCTTTGCAATTTGTTCTCAGTTGGGTTGGTGGATCATTTCCGGGAACACTATTACTGATGATTCGAATCTAACTAACACTTTTACAGTGAATAATCTTCAGTTGAATAAACAAACGAATTAGTTGAAAGATTTTGGTCTTTAGACTCCATTCCTGAAGTCAAACGTATTTCAAGTGAAGATAAAAAATGTGAAGAGTTCTTTAAAACAACACACTTCCGTGATCAAAATGGTCGTTATGTAGTGAAACTTCCATTTAAAGATAACCCTTCAAGGTTGGGTAATTCTAAAGATCTTGCTTTACAAAGATTTAAATCTTTAGAGAGAAATCTCTTAAGATCTCCTGATACATATGATATGTATAAACATTTCATGAAGGAATACTTGGATCTCGGGCACATGGAACCAGTCCGTAGTTCAGAGTCCCCAAGTCAGGCATACTACATGCCACATCATGCAGTAATTAAGGAATCTAGCTCTACGAGTAAAATACGTGTGGTATTTAATGCTACTAGTAAGTCTTCATCAGGACTATCTCTTAACGACATATTGATGACAGGTCCCAGAATACAACAAGAGCTGTTTCCAGTTTTGGTCAAATTCAGATGTTACCCAGTAGTTGTCACAGCTGATATCATGAAAATGTTTAGACAAATTCTAGTTAATGAAGAGGATATAGAAACTTTCAAAGGATATTTTGGCGGGACAGTCCAAGTGATCCTATTCAAGAATTTCGACTTAATGCTGTCACATACGGCACTGCCTCGGCTCCATATTTGGCTACTCGTGCTTTATACCAACTTGCCTACGATGAGCAGAATAACTATCATTTAGCTTCGAAGGCTGTACTTCAAAACTTTTTTGTAGATGATTGTTTGGTAGGTGCTCAAAAACACTGAAGAGTGCAAAAATCTAGTAAATCAACTCTTGCAAATGTTAGAACGTGGAGGATTTCTTCTGCGTAAATGTTTATCCAATGACTTGTCAGTGTTAGAGAATATACTCCAGGAGTTGAGAAATGATTCTGAGGCTATGAAAATTCAAGACGATAGCTGAATCAAAGTTTTAGGAATTAATTGGAACCCCCGTGAAGACTACTTTAACTTTTCCGTATCCATTTCTGGTGAAAAGCTTAAATACTCTAAAAGAGATATCCTTTCTGATTTAGCGAAAATATTTGACCCATTGGGTTGGCTTGCTCCTTGTATTATTTATGTCAAAATCTTGATACAAGACATGTGAAAACTCCATTTATCGTGGGATGAACCTGTTAGTGATGAGATTGCTAACAAATGGAAGACTTTTCCGAAATGATTTACATCTTATTCAACAATTAAAAATCCCGAGATTTGTTTTGATTCCTGACGTGAACTATGTTGATATCTGTGCTTTTTGTGATGCCTCCGAGAAAGGCTACTGCGCAGCAATTTATTTGCGTTCAGTGGTGTCACGTAATTTGGACATCAAAGTAACACTCTTAACATCAAAAACTAGAACTAAAACAAAAACTAGACTGCCCCTCTGAAAGTGCAATCATTACCTCGATTAGAGTTATGCGCCGCAGGTTTGTGAGTGAATTTGCTTAAATCAGTGTTAGAACATTTAGAGTTTCCTATACGTAAAGTTTTGGCCTGGACAGATTCAACTGTTGTACTGTCCTGGATTTCTGCAGAACCATACCGTTGGGTTCCCTTTGTTGCAAACCGCGTTGCTAAAATACAGAATACAATTCCTAATGTAAGGTGGAACCATATCAATGGAAAGCGGAACCCAGCTGATTCAGGTACAAGAGGAATGTTTCCAGCAGAATTTCTGAAGTGTGAGCGATGGTTCATTGGACCTACTTGGTTATATTCACAAGATTTCGAACCATGTCCTGACAGTGAACATCTTGCTGATGTAGATTATGAAGGAGTTCGTAGAGAAGAAAGAAAAAACTTGCATTTCAGTATCTTGTGCGGTAAAGGAAAATGACATTTTTAAACGGTATTCATCTTGGACAAAATTACGTCGTATAGTTACATTATGCCTAAGATTTATTTACAACTGTCGAAACTTCTCCGAAAATCGTTTGAGAGGTTTTTCTGACAACCGATGAGCTTCGATTAGCTAAGAAAAGACAAAAAAAAGTGATAAGAAATGTCCAAGAATCATATTTTCCTCGAGAGCTCTCTTATTTAAAAACATCGAGAGAATTAAAAGGTGTGAGCAGCCGAGTAATACAATTAACTTCCTTCCTTGATGAAGAATGCGTCATTCGAGTAGGTGGTCGCTTAAAAAATGCAAACATTCCTGAAAATAGCAAACATCCTATTTTGCTTCCAAAGGAAGGACATGTCACTAATCTCATCGTAACTCATTACCATGTCAATTATTTGCATGCTAGTCAAGAGTTATTAATAAGCACTTTACGAATGCAGTTTTGGATTCTTGCGGTGAGAAGCGTAGTGAGAAAGATTATTCACAGATGTATTCCTTGTATTAGAAATCGAGGCAAGACTGTGACCCAGATAATGGGTGATTTACCCTCGCCCAGAGTTCAACCATCAAGACCTTTTGCAGTCACCGGTGTTGATTATGCTGGTCCATATTCTATTAAGTCCCAAGTTGGGAGAAGAACAAAAACTTTCAAGTGTTACGTATCCATTTTTGTGTGTTTCTCAACAAAAGCTGTACACTTGGAGTTAGTCAGTGATTTATCAACTTCAACGTTTTTAGCAGCTCTAAAAAGATTTATCGCCCGACGAGGCAAACCATCTAAAATTTCGAGTGACTGTGCTACTAACTTCAAAGGTGCTAGTAAGGAACTGAAGGAGATTTATAAAAATGCAGCACGCATTGAGAAAAGCAGTGAATTATGTGACTACATTACCTCAGAAGGTATAACTTGGTTATTTAATCCTCCGACATCTCCTCACTACGGTGGCTTGTGGAAATCTAATGTGAAATCCATGAAATTTTATCTTAAACGAGTATTAGGATCCACACTTCTAACTTACAATTAGAAATTTTTAACAGTGCTTACACAAGTGGAAGCGTGTATGAATTCCCGTCCTCTTTGTGCGATGTCTAGTGATCCAAACGACTTTAGTGCATTGACTCCAGGTCATTTTTTGATTGGAGTCTCTTTGCTTGCCATTCCGGAATCTGACTTGAGTGATGTGAAATCTTCACGACTTAAACGTTGGTCTCTAGTTCAACAGACTGCGCAACATTTTTGGAAACGATGGTGTGCAGAATATTTAACAACACTTCAACAACGTGCTAAGTGGTTTCGTGCGTCTCCAAATCTAAAATGTGGTGATTTAGTTCTGATCAAAAACGAACAACTGCCTCCAAACCAATGGAAAATTGGAAGAATTGCCTTAATTCATCCAGGTAGTGATAAAAAAGTTCGAGTGGCTACAATCCATACAGCCGCTGGTGATTTCAAACGAGCTGTTACTAAATTGTGTCTTATCCCCAATCATGACTAATATGAACTATGAACTATTGAACTTTAATTTTAGTTATATTTTCAATTAATTTTTTTGTTAATGTTATTATGTATGCTTTAACTATTTGTCTTTTTTGAACCCTTAGAAGGCTTCAAGGCCGGGGGCTATGTTTAGTATTTTTTGTTACCAAACGAATTACTAGTGTGTCTTTGCAACAATAGATGGCGTTGCCGCCTGATGATTCAATTCTGGTTGCTATGGTAACGAACTTTCAACTCATAATTTATGTGATTTGTATTCTATTCTTTTTTGTTTTTTATTAATTGCTACTGTGCTTGGAGTGATGTGAGCTGTGTCGTCACGTGGGCGGCATTCCGTCTATTTCAAAGAGTTATGTAAAATAAACTAGTGATATTACAGTCCGCTTACCTTTTTTTGTGAATTATTCTTAACATACAGTTTTTATAGAACAAAAAAAAATTAACTGTAAGTAACATTATCATTTTATAATTTGTACATTCCGAAGTTTCATAGGTAGAAAATAGATGGTTTTGCATTAGTCATATTTAATAATGATTTAAGAGAAAAAATATTTTAAAATTGTTTCAGGAATTAGGACAATATTTCTGGCGATAGTGAATGTGTTTACAGACGGCTGGTTTTTGTCTTAAAAATGAAGCAATTATTTTATAAAATGTAAACCTTTTTCCGTTAAATACACAGAACGTCGGAGAAAAAGAATCACTAAAGCATAACAAACCTCCATGTTGCGACTTTGACATCTGGAAGGTCCACCTTCACCATTTAGTCTGTTCTCTGAAAAATAAAGAAATATAAATAAGTCTCATTGACATGACTATTAATGTATATTATATTTTATAAAATTTGGATTATATTATTATATTTATTATAAATTTGGAAGAAGACGCTCGTTCTAATAACTTGCCGTGGTAGATGAATGCAATAACCAGAAACGTGGACGAATTTAAACATTTTTATGTAATGCAACACAAATCAAATCGGCGTCACAGCAGCTTGTTCTTAAAGAACGCTTTATATACGATCAGCATGAAAAATATACTTTTTGAAGGCAGAAGGTATCAACATGTTGCTCTAGCAAAGCAGAAGAATGAAAAAAGAGGCGAACAAATAGAGCGAGCAAAGACAAGAGGTGACCAAAGAAGAGAGCGAAATGGCGCAGCAAAGACCTTTTACACAGATTACATTTCGGATCACACTTCAAGAATGTTGACATTAAGAGAATTATATTTCAGTTAGAAAGCAGATTAATATTCGGATGCTGGGTTAAGATCTCACCCCATTCCAGGAATAATTGTAAAATACAGATCAGAAGAGGGAATCACTTTCCAGATTTACAGGAAGTAAAGATTATATTAGAGAAGTTATTATTTTGTGAGTTTTGGAATGAAAAGTAGTAAGAGCTATTGTTAATTTACTATTAGAAAGTTAGCTATATATGTATATATATGCAATAAAGCTCCAGTCATTACCAGATTCAGCTAACCGGATTCCCTTTATCCAGATCTTCAGTTACTGAAATCCAGTTACACAGAACTCCCGTTACCCGAATTTTCTAAATATCCTGACAACTATGGTTCCCACTGTTTGGATATTTAAAATTCTATTGCACAGCTGATTCTCATTAACATAATTAAAAATTTTAATAAATTAAATTAAAATAAATAAATTATGCACAGTTGATAACAGTGAAATGTCATTACCGGTTAATTATAACAAATATTAAGTATTAAAGTACGTTAGATTATTTATACACTCCTGGCCTTTAAAACTGCAACACCAGGAATGAATGATCTGACGAACATCAAAATTACCTGAAAGGAAGAAGAGATTAGGGTATGCAAATGATCAGTATTTCAGAGCATTTAGATGACGCAGGAGGGAGAAACGACGTTTGAAGCATTGCATAAAAGAAAAGTTGCGTAGTGGATTTCGCATTCGAAAAGCGCTTTGTGAGGTCAGAGTTTGCTCATAATATCGTGTTATGCCTCGAATAATAAGAAATGCTTCCCAGCAAGTGTCGGAATTCGATAGAGGCAGGATCATTGCCTATCAAAAGTGTAGATAATCCTTCCGTGATATCGGCGGTCGCACAGGCGGCCATCCAACCGCTGTCATGCGAATATGGAATCAATGGATTGCTGAAGGCCATACTGAACGGCATGCAGAATCTTAACGCCCTCCTATGACTAACGCCCGAGAGGACAGACATATTGTGAGGTCAGCCCTGCAAAACCGTACAACCACATCACGGACTATTACTCAGGAAATGGGCATGTTTGCAGCATACCCAGTATCCGGTCGTATGGTGCGTCCATGTCTGCAGCAGCGTGGACAATAAGCCCGGCGACCAATACTTCGGCTTCGCTTGATAATGAAGTATAGAGAGAGACGGCGACTGTGGTGCGCTGAACTACAAAACTGGATACAGGAGTGGTACAATGTCGTCTTTTCAGACGAGTCCGGATTCTGCATGCAGTATTTTGATGACCGTATACGTGTCTGGAGGCTCCGAGGAGAGCACATGTCGCCTGCTTGCATTCGATATCGGCATCACTGCACCTGGTGTGATGGTTTGGCAGCCATTGTGTACAGGACACGCACATGCCTAGTTCGGATCGACGGTAATTTGAACGCAGATCGGTACATTTCTGATATCTTACGTCCAGTAGTTGTGCTCTATCTTCGAGGACTGCCAAACACATCTTCCAACAGGATAATGCAAGAACAAATGTTGCACTTCGTGTTCTGACCTTTCTTGAAACTCATGGCATTCGACTGTTACCCTGACCTGCACAGTCTCCAGATCTGTCCCCATGGAAAACATCTGGTCATGGGTTGCTGAGAGACTAGCTAATACCGTTGATGAAGTGTGGCATAGGTTTGAAACAGCATGGAATGAGTCGCCCGTTTCTGTCATCCAAGCCCAGTTCGACTCCATGCCTAAACAGTTAAGGGCCGTTTTAGCTGCCAGGAGTGGCAGCTGTCTAATAATTTCGCACCCATGTAAACCTCCAAACTGCTTACAAATTTAATCATTTTGTCTTCATGCCATACTGTTTTACGCACAATAAATATCTTTTTTTTTTTTTTTTTTGTATTTTCTTTCCATCATGATTTTGCAATTTTAATGGCCAACAGTTATACTTTATAATTAAAAAAGGATATTTGTTTTGTTAAATATTTCAATACATAAATTCATTGAACACTCAAAGATAGAATAAGAATCATTCAAAAATGCTAAATATATATATGAAAGATTAAACTCTGTGATAGCCAGTAATGTCTTTCATAATTTGTTTCTTTTTCTTCTAGGGTAAAAATAATAATACGCTTATAATAAATGTTTCTGAAGAGTGCTATTTTAAATGAATCTCTGTCATATAACTTTTATATAATGCTAATGAAGTATGAATTTACACAACGGCGAAAGTGAAAGTAAAATCTTTTATCGAATTATAACTAAATCGAAACTTTAAAACAATAGAAATAAAGCGACATTGTGTTCCACTATTGAGAAATTATGTATATAACTTCACCATTCTTAATTTTATGTCAAAAGAATAATTATAATTTATTTCACAATTCTTTTTGTCTTTCTCATACGTCGTCCGCAAGCTGTCGTTTCGCCATTTGCTAAATACTGTAAAAATGTGAAATGTTTGCATAGGATTATTGGTCAGCGGTTTATCCGCCTAAGCGCTTATATGGTTTCTGCGTGTGAAATATGCTTGAATAAGGATAACCATCTGCAGATTCAAGATTGTATATTTGTTAGAAGAAAAGAGCCTTAAGCATTCGTCTTCATCTTTTATGTCTGTATGCCAATATCACTCTAAAGCTTTATTGTTTCGCACATAAAGGCAAAATCATGCAATGTAATGCCGTAATTAGAAATTTAAACAAGATACATTTAATCTTCATTAATAGTGTAACATAAAATTCATTCGCTTCACGTTACATTTATGGATCCATTCTTATGTTTATGGATTTAGTTAATATAAGGTGTAGAAAGAAATTAATTTTTTATATTTGGTCAAGAATAATAAATAATACAACTTGTCAAAAAACCTTTTGAAACTCATGTAATATTATGAGGAAATTATATGCGTTCACACCACATAACGAAAGTAGTTGTCTTCTTCTAGGCACATGTTGACCCAGCGCTGCATGTCTTCAGTACAATATGATTTTTACTCAATAAGATGAGAAATTTATTCACGTTTATATTGTAAGGAAGAAAGCCAAAAAAAAAAAAAAAAAAAAAAAAAACCTTATGCAACCTACGTTAACTTAAAAGGTCATTTATTCAGACACGAAACATTTGTGATTTTCCATGTAGTACTCTCGGAGAGGCATAGAAATATTTCTAAGAAGGATGCGTGACTTATCCCGCATCTCGATTGTCGAGTATAGAGGAATCATTTCCAAGGACAGTTCCCAGTTGGCTGACCATCATTCTACCAAGAGGTTAAGTAGTACTGTCTCGCGTGTCTCTGCATATCTAGCATTACAAGATACAATCATAT